AAAAAGGCGATATTTTCTATTCTTAATTAAAGGAGCGAAGCGCTTAGTGGTTGAAGTAGAGGAGAGCTAGAATGAGTCAATTTTCCTAGGGAAAGCACACAAGCAGGAAGGAAGAATCGAAAAGGCACTTTATTTCCTATTTAGGAATGAGCGGCCTACAGAGTGGAAATGATCCTGCGAAGCCGGTCAGGCCAACTCTAGCTTTAGGAATAAAAAGGCATACAACCCCTACGAAAGCATCCATTTCATGAGTTGAACTGGCTCTGCTCCTTGCTGGAGGAAAAACGAGATTATGTTATTCGAAGCCTTTTATAAGTCCGAGCTTTCCTTTCAATTCGTGTAGCGAGGTCCTCTTCTTGCTTTTGTCTCCTAGCATTCTACTGGATAGCTCCTACCCTTCCTTTATCCTCCTTGCGCTATGAATTGGCTTTCTTGTTGTTAATGGGCAGACAAACTTTTGACCCAGACGTGGGTGGGGTGGGCTTTTTTCTAAGGAAAAAGTATGACCTTAATCTACTTTCTCGGGTATCTAGCTTACGGAAGACAAGGTCTTGACGTTCTATAGATGAACTAGCATAACAGACATGCTTGAATTTATAAAGACAACTCTGAATCACTCGTTTAATACAAAGCAACTTTCGCCCTATCCTGACCTGACGGGAAGGGAACTTATGAAGAAGACTGACCTGTGCTCTTCCTGTAATCTGACCTTACAATAGCTTTCTTAAAGCTTTTGGCTTATTGATCTCCAACTGTATTTGTATTCGTATCTGGTAGTTCTCTTTCTAGTGGATCAAGATATTCGAGGCTAATCCACTCTTCCTTGAAACTTGGAAATCACCCTTTATTAAAATGAAAACTTTTTTTACTTATAAATGAGTTGCTTCTCGACTCGACTGACTCACACTCCTCTCCTATCTTTTTAAGAGCTGCCATGGGCATTTATTTACCTTGGATGCTATAAGAATTGGCTGGCTCTTGCCCCATTCAAAAGGATGAAAATGGACAAATCCATTAAGAGTATCATTTGTCACTTCTCTTGATTTCCCACCCACCTACCTATCATCTATAAGTCTCCTGAAGCTCCCCCACTTGGTAGCTAATCCCGCTCGTTGGTATCTGTGAGTCTAGATCTTAGCTTATCTTATACTCTCTATACTTCGCATTTCCTTGAGCCTTTCTACTTATAGACGGGACTGCTATTTGTTTCATACCTGAAATGAAAAAAAAGGCAAGCAAGTCAGGGATTCCTCGAGCTGCTATCTCGATACCGATCCTTGAAACCCTGAATTAAGGGCACTGCTTAGGTAAGAAAGAAGCGCTGATCCACTTATACTCGCTAGGGGTTACTCTATCACACGCATCCTAGCTTATCTCACTTCTTCCTTGAAGGTCCCACAGACTGTTCGAATCCTTAGCCTGTCCTTGATTAGCTTCCTATCACCTACGCCTCCTCCCAGGAAGTCACTATTCTTTCCTTTCTCCTGGCTCCTGAAGCTTTTGCATTTTTCAAAGGCCTTCACTCGATCTTCATTCTACTATAAGAACTCGAACCTGAGTCCATTACTATTCTGGTCGAGTTCGTTTATTCGTTTTTTCAGAACTCACACTTCGTACCTGAACATGAATAGGCAGCGCTCTTTTTCCCGACGTAAGCCCAGGCTTGCTATCATCCAGTTGTGGCTTTTTCCCCCCTTCATTCTCAAGTGCTATAGCTTGTTCGCTAAATTCCTTCCCGATACCCCTTCATCACGTCTTGGGCAACCAAAACCCTAGCCTTGAAAGATTTTTTAACTTCCCCGGACGAATGGATTAAATCTCTTTTCAGGTTCAGTGAGGACAGTCCTTACTATCCTAGCTGCGGTTCCTTTTCATATCCCGCTTTGAAGCAACTACACTCGCTCGTTAGCCTGTCTGGCTCTCGACCTGCTTCAGTATCTAAAACACTTTTTTTTACTCTTGCATTCGCTATACTTCGTTCTGCTACCTTCCGATGTACTACCAAACCGACAACTAACCTTGCTTTTCTACCTTATCAGTAACAGCTATATTCGGAGACTTTACCTGAAGAAAACGGAGACCTAGAACTACTAGGATTCCTAGCTTCCAGCTTTATCAAATTTTCGTTATTTTGGAAAACCTTGGCAGGATCATAGTTATCCTCCCTCCTATCTTCTTGACTCCTTCTAAGCTATTCTCTTACTTTACCTGCTTGGCATGGCAAGCTAATACTAACTCTGAGTGCTTATTGCTTCCTTTTTATTTTTGTACTCTATAGGAAGAAACCAAATAGAAAGATTCTCATAGATAGTGTCAAGTTCTCTAACGAGCTGTCGTAATTTGAAATTCCCCACCCCCCCAACATCTTTCCCTCTATAGGGATAAAAAAAAGAAGCCTATAGGAGATAGACTCATCCCCAGAAATCCCATTTTCCTGGCTCTCTCACAATGAGAACCAACATTTGCGATTCTCATCCGATAGAGAGAGGGATTGAAGTACACAGAAATGGTAAATCTTTATCAAAGCAATCTGGACTAGCTCTTGGTTCGGGCACCATCCCGTTAAGGACAGGTTTTCTTATCTCCACGGTCGAGTTTCCCCAATTCCAGTACCTTGGGAAGGCATCACTTATGCTAGAAGGCTTCACAGCCCTCCTTACTAGCAGCCCAGATCTGTTTTGTGCTCGGCTTGATGCCATCTCAGATGTCCATTCAAGTAGCCTGCCTACCCTATTTTATCTTAGAGAGGGGGCCTAGCGTGCCTATTATTTTGCTACAACTACTGTGATTTCCACTGCTGCTCCTTCTTTTGCTACCTTGCGGAAGTCTTACTGCTAATGTCCTAAGCTAAGCCCCTAAGGCCTAAGCGGGGAAGGAGGAAGAATAGCGTTATAGTGCCCTATTTGTCTAATATCGAAAATTGCCCCAATAATTCGTATTCGTAGCGTCCGATTCCATTCCTGACTAGCGGACAGAAAGAAAGAATTCCTCCTGCTCTACGATTAACTGTTCCGTTTAAGGGATTAAGGCAGTGAACTCGTTAGGACAACCAGAAGGGCAGAGCTCTATGTTCTATTGAAAGCTGTCTCAAAAGAGCATCAAATCCTGAAAGCAGGACTTCAAGTCCATGTGTTGCGCATGATTAGGGATTAGACTTAGGGCAAGAAGGGCTTTAAGCCCTAAGTAAAGGAACTTCATTTCTCGCCGATTGTACGTCCTTTCAATTTCAACTGATTTTGGACATTAAACTGAATGCACTCGTTAGGTTCAACCTGGGGATGAGAAAGAGCTTGTGAGTGAGGAATGGGGCTCTCTATGAACAGAATCCGCAGCTATCTTGCTTTAATCTAGCTACTCCCAAACAAAGGTATTTTGCACTCTATACGGTATGGCTACAAACCGAAGAAGTCGGAAGTAGTTCATCGCCTGTGGGAGCTTGCTGATAGTGAGGAAGCCATAATCTCTCTATCGGATTGCCTATTTGTCTATCTGTCTGGTGAAGAGAGAATGGAAGAGACTCTCAATAGGGCAAGCACCCAATACCTCGTCGAGTCCAAAGCTCCTGCTCAAGCAGTTCAATCCAATTGAATTGAGTACCTACGACTGTGGAATGCTTCTTATATGTTATTTTATTATAAGAGGAACTCAAAGTAAAAACTAGACTTTGTCTTGCACACTGACTTCAATCGTATAGAGATTTCCCACTGTCTGTGTCGATACCAGAAACTACGACTGAAACCTACACCGCTAACGAAGTTAAAGTGATTGCCTACTTTCTATGTCCGGAGACGCTTACTGCACTGCTTCTTCTGTCAAGACAGGCAGGCGGTTATCAGGATGTAGTCAAGGAGGTAGGCTTTGAGCCAGCAATAAAGCTAGCAAAGTCTACCGCGAGCGAGTAGCCTTTTCCAAAGAAGGGACATGCTTACTTAGAGTAGCGAAAGGCGAGCGGGCTATAGTTACCAGTTTCGAGTTACTTAGCTGGTATTCCCCAGCACGGCTTATGCGGATCTCTCTCTCTACTACCAGGGAACGGGTTAGAATCCCGGAGCACTACAGGCCTAACTTATTATTCGATATAATGAGAAGCACCTTTATTGAACTAAAACCCTTATCCCCCAACTGATCTACCCAGTAATGTGATGAGTTCCGACCTCGAAGGCCCAATCCTTCGTCGTACGGAATGAGTATGACTTGGCTACAAGGGAAACAAAGCGCCCAAGAGATCTAGCTTCTTTGAGGACCGGTTGCTAGCCCCATCATCATCCCGAGCTTTTCACCGTCGGTCCCATGACTGCACGAGCCCTATGAACTAGCTCTTCCGTGTCCGCCGAACTGTACGATGGAGGGCGTTCCATTCGAGTATTTCATTTTCCCAACCCCGGGTGAGCACCGTTAATGTCTCTAGTAGATAGACTCTACAAGGAACCTGGCTCAGAGGAAGAAGGACATTAGTTTGAAGTCTCGAGTCTCTATCCCCTCTCTAGTGCTGCTTACAAGGACCGGTTTCCCTACTACCGTGTCATGGCGATATCTGCCTCGAAACCCTCGGCTTGCTTCGTCTCCTAGTGGTGGTTTCCCGTGGAGCGACCATGAGTCAGGTGGAGTAGCCCTATAGTTAGTAGACTTCCCCTCAGCCTCTCAACTCATACAGAGGGAGGGGAAAGAGACTGATGCTACTACCAATACCAGGTACCGGGTGAATCATACATATCTAGCTGGAAGCCTTATCCTCATTTCAAGTCGAATCCGAGGCTTGGCACCTTTTGTTCTCGAGATATCCACTTGGTGATTAAATTTTAATTTGTTGTTTTCAACTAGAAATAGAACTGGAACGAGAACCTCCATCTAGACCTAGACCTGACACCCGCATACCGCATATGCCAGTGGTTGTGGTACAGGTAGTTGTTTGTGTCTTGAATCGACAGTGAGGGCTGTAGCTCGGGGAAGGTTTGCCTGTAATCGATGGCAGAACGACTGACTCCTCCCTTTCCGTTAGCCTAATCCGCTTTATGATCCCAGTTGGTACTAATCTTATATCGGGCGAATTCTATGTTCAACAAATAGTTGAGCGATGGAAGGACAAAGGAACTGAATAAGAACAAGCGAGACAAAGGGATATGACAAAAAAAAAGCCTTCTCACGAGCTGGAGTCGAACCAGCACCTCTGGGATCAAAATACAGGCCCAGCGAACTACCTTTCATTCTGATCGTGACTTTCAAAAATAAAGAAGAGAAAGAAATGGGAGTTGGCGCCTACATAACAGGTTGCTTGCTTACCAAGCCATCCCGGCTTTTAGCTCCTCCAGTTCTATTATTATTTATTCTTATTTATTGACTTATTATAATAAATACTACTAACTATCAAAATGAAAGACGATCGATTATCTACCCAAGAAGATAGAGAGTCCCACATACGAGAAAAGGTCACAAATAGAGTTGAACCAAGTAACATTGCAAAGGCATAATGATAGTAGGGTCGGGATATCCCCGCCCTCCGAACCGGACGTGAAGGTCTCCCCTCATCCGGCTCTCTGCAGGGGAATCTCCACTCACTGCTTCCCCTAATATCCTCCCTTTACCACATCATGGGGGTTTACAGGAGATCCCAGAGGCTCGCTCGGAAAGGCTGTTATACCATACCTTTTGACTCAACTCTACTCTAGTAGTCACAGGACTCACTATAGTAGTCCGTCCGGCTGCTCTTGCTGAAATCATTACTCTTCATTATCCCGTGCTCTAGCAATTGCGCTCCCTAGACCACTACCATGTAGTTAGGTAGAGACAATCAATCCGTAGTGACGGGAATCTGGGGATCCCTATCAATATAAAAAATGAATAATATATCTATAGAGAAGCTACCTTTCTCTCACTCAATAGATGTATCTGGTACGGTACAGTACAATACGAGACGATGGAATGCAATGGGATGGATGGTAGAGGGCTGCCTGCGCCCAAAAGCGATGATTCACTTGTCCCCTTGTCCATAGGGACCTCGTGGCATACAACCGAAACGACTCCCGCTATATAGCCGCCCCTCTCTCTTTTTACAGCCTCGTGGACGGACTAAAGAAGGGAAGTTACAGAACGGGGCAGTGAAGAGAAGTAGACAGCAAGCTTTTCTCAGCCCCCTAACCTTTCTATTATTATTATAACGCTAGCGCGCCCCTATCTCTAATCTAAAGGGGCTTAAGCACTTCACTCGCTAGGGGATGGGATTCATTCACTTGCATTCCTGCTAGCACTACAAAAAGCTCCGGTCTTCACGCCCCTACTACTGCTGTGCAGCCTTTCCTCGGGTTCGTAGAGTCGGGTTTCCCGTTTACCCACAACGGAGGACCCCACCAGACCAGGCAGGCGGCCACGGGTCATAACGCACTCTTCGCACAACAAATCCACTTTGAAGTTGACTTATCCGCTCGGCCAATCGTCGGAATGTGTACGATATACCATAAGGGCCCAATATCTCAATAGCACCTTTGTCTAAAGCTTCGAATGAGACTTCATATCCGAAACGCAGGAACGATCTGACTAGAAAGTCATTCAAAACTTGATCGAAGAACCAGCGTCTATTGAAGAAGCTATAGAGTCGATTACAAAAAGTACTTGTTTGAAAGGCTCGTTGGAATTGATCCGCTACGGGATTTACATTATACGCAACAGAAGCACCTGAAGTACTAAACAGCGGAATAGGTTAAGGTTTAGACTGACCTGACCTCTTTCACCCTTACCTTTTAACAGAAAGGAAAAAGAAGCGCTTAGTTACAAAAAATTCCCTAGGGCTTTGCTTTCACTTCTTGTCTACAGCAGTTCAAGTACGAGAGAATGAATTTGTCTAGCTAAGTTTCCTCTCTCTCGAGAGGGAAGGTCAGAAATGAGCTTCTAAAAAAAAGGGTTCAATTCAAAGATTACGTATATGTAAATGATCAGAACTGGACAATCCAAGAGTGATACCACGATAGGACCAATCCTAAGTTGAAGATTTAGGAGACATTGTTTTTCAGTCCAAGCGTGTCGTCTGGTCTGTCCATTCAATCGATCCAGACTAGATTCGAGCCAAAGAGGAACCTAGCCTAGGAAAGGAAGGTTGAAAGGATCACAGCCGAATAGGTCGGCTAGAGATTCAAGGGTCATAACTTAACTAAAGTCTTTCCCCCTGCCTCTTCTTCTTTCCTTCCTTGCTGCCGAAACTTCTTAATAGCTAATATACCTTCCACCTTCTGTGGATGCGGATTAGTTTATTATATGCATGTTTTGATCGTTGGTTTAGCTCCTTTTGCTCTTTCTTGGTCAGTATGAAAATCTTCCTAATGAAGAATTAGGGCGTAAGGGCTTGGCTTTGAGGGGGCCTTTGGTAGGTGCTAGGCATTGATAAATCGATGGAAGGGACAAATTACCATGGTCAGCTTAATGGTTTGTACACGGATGAAGCGGTGAGTTACCATAAATGTGTGACAATTCTCTCTCTCTATTACATCGATGAGTAAGCAGAAATAAAAGTGAATATATGTATGAATTTGGCGTTCCATTCTCTCTATCATATAACTTATTCATGGAATGTAACCCCGAATTAGGTTGGAAAGTAAGCGCTCGATTTGGCTTGTGAATCCAATAAAAGAATTTCTGATCTGGGAATCAACTCGTACATTATAGTTATCACGGCATTAAAAAAGTACTATCTCTATCTTGTGGATGGTTCATTGTGATCGTTACGAACCAAAGAACTTATGATTCGTGCGTAGAAAGTCCAAACATGGCATGAACGGGTAATTAAGGCTATTGATACCTATGCTAGCAATAGATTGGTAGCAATGTTAAAAAAGCATAATATATATATAAAAGATAGGCGGAGTCACCATTTGATTATCAGATAGCGCTCTGAGGGAGATCGGTAACAATTTATTTTCCAGTTCTTCCATTGGCGTGATAAACAAAGGGTCCTGGACAATGAGCCATGGAGTTTCGATAAGCAGGTATTGATTCTGAAGGAGGTGCAAGGAGACGAACAACCCTCCAACATCTCTTTCTTCTATGTTCCCCTCTTGGTGAGAGCTTATGACCCCCTTTTGAATGGCAGAAATTCTGGTTGTAGGTACTCAGGACGCGCACAATTCCATACGTCGTGTAGGAATCATTCCGAGCGCGAAGCTACATGGGAACTAGAGGAGAAGATGCGGGAGGAGCACCCTCACCTTTTCGACACGCCAGGTAAGAGTTTTGTCATCAAAACTAACACTTAATGATTTGAATCGATGTGGATATAGTCTCGCACCTTTCTATAGGTTTTCCAAGTATCTATCCCTCGGTATGGTCGTTCCCTTGGACCCTAACCTAACATAAAAGGTCGTGTGCCATCCCGCTTCTGCCAGAATCGAAGCCAATACCCTGAAGAGGTATAGAGGTCAACTATGAAAGGTACCTAGGAAGCAGAACTCGCCAAGAGTCTGAGATCTGATTGAACAATTGTAAGATTTTCATCATATCAAATGCTCTTTCAGTCTGCAGAAACTTGGGAGGGGTCACAATAGAATCAAGTATTCTCACACTTAATCGCTTTGCCAACGGTATGACCCGTGACAAAGTGAATAAAAGAAGGATAGATATAACTGAACTAATGTGTCCGCCTTATCATCCTTCCTCATTATCACCTTACGGTGAAATGAAGGAATGATCCTAGGTAGACCATTCCGACTGAGGGAGACGAAAACTGGTAGTCTCTCATGCTCGTAAGGCGGCCCGGCATAAACCTGTTGAAGGCAAACGCCACACTGCTTTAAATAAAGTGCAGTAGATAAAGGACCGGACTTACGGTATAATTGACGTACCTGTTTCGCAAACAAGTGCGCAGCTATACAGTTCTCCTTTGAAAGGCCATCAGTGACCTTTCAGAAAGATTTTGGGTTCATTTCACTGAAACTAGCTGGAAATATCTTATATATAAGTGCTATTCCCTCTCAGCTTCAAAAGGGCTTCCCCGAGGAGAGTACGGGGCATCTCTATGGTTCCAATATGGTATCGCAGAGTTCGTCGATCTTCTTCTGACTAGTGCCGTGCTGTCAAACATAAATATAATACAATATCGGGAATCTCTTTGACCTTCAATGTGTCTAGGGTAGGGACCTATCTTCTTCGTAGTAGGCCCTTCTCTCTCTTAGTATGAGCCCCGGAACTGCTTGTTATACATACCGCCAGCTGTCTTTCCCGGCGCTTCTGCTTTCTGCCATAGAGGTGTGAGGTTAAGAATGATCGAAATAAGACACGATAGAAGGTGGGTGACTAAATGGGAGCATTTCCTTTCTTGCCCGGTAAGCTCCTATCGTGGTTTTCGATTGTCGATTGCTTTTGTACTTTGACCCTTGGCTAGTTCACTGAGCTATATCGGGGACTTAGCGTTCGACTGTTGCCAACTCGGGGGTTGAACCCGAGAACTTATGTTCTGAGTGAGAGGTGGAAACCTTCTTGGTTAGAGTTATAGGAGAGCGAGAACCGTTCTAGGGAAATAGGGATTCCGCACGCACCTCGAGAAACTGGACAAAAGTACCTATTTTGTTTGTGAGGTGGTAAGGCAGATTTCTGAGAGTTGTTCCGTACCTCTTGAGTTCTGAACTAGAGTCAAACCTCCGCAAACCCTTGGTGGACAGGCTTTCGTACCGAAACAGCTGACTTGCTTGCATCCCTTTGATTGCTTAGTCTCTCCTCCTTGCTGCACTATTATGGTACATCGGTATAATCCTCTGATCCCGTGACTTGCCTTTAATTTACTTGTCTTTATCTTTCATCTTTCTATCCTATGCAAAAAAAAAATAGAGGAAGATTCTATGAATATCCCCATCCATAGTAAAGACTCTTCTCAAATACGCAGTTGCCAGATTACACAAAGCCATTTTCAGTGTGCTAATTCAACCTTCTTTATAAAGAGGATATGCCATATGGTGCCCCGAGGATTAGAGCCAAGAAATATACATCACATCGATCTAGCCTAATAAACAAGGCTCCATTCCGGCTTAATTAATTATTGCCTCCTACCGTATGGCATCTCCTCTACTTCAATTCAAACTAGCGTTTCGCCCCTTTCCTCTTTCTTTGTTGCAATAGATGAGATTAGCATTGGCCTAGTTCCAATCCTTCGTCAAGTCACTTAAAAACTCCCTCCTCATTTGCTGCAGGTGAGAAAGGGCCTTGCTTTCTGCTGGCCTGATTAGTAGTCAGACTGATGATCTACCCGTCTCCGAGGGGGTAGACCTGCCGGCAACTCCTACGACAAAAGAAAAGCGAACTCTTCCTTAAGCAGCGCTATGCTTCATCCTCAAGGTCAACGGTTCTAGCCTCCTGAACCGTCGTAATGGACTTATAAAATATAAAGCCTCTTCTGCTTTACCTATTTGGCTATTTGGGCCGTTTTACTCATTTCTTTGATTACCAGGGCATAAGACTGCCCGCTCCACCACGTGCATAAACTCATTATCTCATGATAGGCCAAAGCGTGACCTTTTTTCTGGCCGAACTCTGTGACAGGGATATAAGGGTGTAATCCTGATGTCTCTAAAGCGCTACGTCTTTTCCCGGCCATCATGCATCGCTCCAACCTCCTATTGCCACAGCCTTACAAGCAAGAAGTTCAAAATCTCATATAGGGACCTTACTGCCGTTCCCAGCTTAAGCGTCTACACCTCCCAACAAAGAAAGTGAATGAATGTGAAATTTTCTTTTCTAACTAATGGCACATCT